ATTATCCCATTAAATGTCAGTGCTCACAGAGTGATAACAGTTACAACAGAGATAGCTACTCTGTACTGAGAGCATACTATGTGTGGTCCCATAGTAGGCATTTTAGATATTTCTCATTTTTAATCCTCATAGTAGCCCTATGGGGGGTATTGTTCTTATTTCCATTTTAGACAGGAGGAAACCGAAGAAAATCAGGATTGAAAAACTTGACCACAGATGATAGAACAAGAAAACAAAGGAGTTACTTGGAAATCAAAATGACTCAAACAATGGGAAGAACCTTACTTCGTCCAAATAAAGACATGAGCGCTGTCAGGCTATTGGAAAGAGTTTGGGAAGGGGAGATTCAGTTCAGTGCCTAACACAGTCCTTCGATGCTCTCTGTGAATTAACCCACGTCATCTCCACAGCAGCCCTTGGCGGCAGGTGGTGACATTCTCTCCATAGGTGAAGAGAGCGAGGCAGGGGAAGTACCTTATCCAGGGTCACACAATAAAGGGCAGAGTGAGGATCTACCCTGAGAATGCAGCAGCAGAATCTGTGTGAGCATTATGCCGCCTCTCAATGAGTCACACTGTTTTTCTCCCAAAGCCATCAGGCAAATCACAGAGAAAATGGGTCAAAGGGAATGTACAGGCAGCTGTGCAAAGACAAGGAGGAGTCATGAAAAGAGGACCTGGGGGATGCACCGGTCATTCCTGCTCTATCTTCGTGGTGGGTGGAGAGGTTTTAGAGTGAATTATGTAACTTTCGGGTCATTCGTTCACCCATTCACTCGTTCATTCATTAAAAATTACTCTCAAGCTTCCTTTTTCATTCTCATTGGAAAGGGGTTGAGGTAAGGCATTAGAAACAACTCCAGTTTTAGTGAACACATCCACCCTATGAATTAGGTCTTACTACCACCATTTTGTTGACAAGGAAGTAGAAAACCTATCATAAAAATAAAAGTATAATATACAAATCGACCAAACAACCTAAAGCACGATGACTGTCCAGATGACTGTCCGGATGACCTTCCAGATGACCATGCTATGACACACACTGGCTCCAGACCAGCCAAGGTGGGTGAGATGCGATTGGTTGGGCGGCACTGCCATTGTCCCATAATCGCTTGCAGAGATGAGGCTCAGGGCTCCCTCTGCAGGGCGGTCAACTGGGGGGACCTCCATGATCAATCACCCCACAGAGGGCAACCCAGGCCATTGGCCAGTGACACTGTAGCAGGTATGTAGCTTCAGCCAGTAATTGCCCCACAGAGGGAGACCAAGGCCAGCCAAGCAATAACACCCCATGCCTGTCACAGGCAGAGGGAGGCAACTGGTGGCAGGGGAGGGAGGGCAGCACTGCACAGATGGCAAGCAGTGGCAGTGGCAGGGGCGGGGCCAGCTGCCAGCATCTAGGGGAAAGAAAGTCCCCAGAGGCCCTGATTTCCAGCCAGGTCTAAGGACCCAACCCAAGGGATCCCAGATTGTGAGAGGGCAAAGGACACCCTCCTCCCCCCATGCACAAATTTCATGTACTGGGCCTCTAGTCTATCATAAAACCTGTTTGTGATCTCAAGGCCAGGTGTGCTCGACTCCAGTGTCCACACACTTCCTCCCATGTCTGGATGAAGAAGGGGTCGCAGATGTGGGCAGGGAGCCTGGCATCCAACTGCTGGTCAGGATCCACATGCTCTATAGACACATTTCATCATCACGGTCTCAGGCGGTCAGTGGTGAAGCACTGGCAAGAAGCAGAGCTTACAAGAAAACAAAAACCTGTCGTCTTTTGTCTAGTTTTTTATTCGAACATCAAATAGGTTGAGAAAATTGTTTACAGGTGCTTGAGCATCCCATGGATTCTTTTCTTTTTTAAAAGTGCAAAAGAGGTTTACAAGTGTGTTTCATTAAACAAAGCAAAGCTGCAAACAGAACAGAATCACATCAATAATAGAACGCATCGGCATAAGGGCGTATCAATCCATCCAACATCATTTGGCATTTGAGCCTTTCCCCATAAGACAAGAGCTCTACACTGAAGAGTATGAAGTGCACAGAAAAGCATTGTTTGCAAGTCATGAGAGAACATAAACTGGCATAATGTCACATATGAATTCAAGTCTCCGTAACCAATGACCTCTCTGTGAATGCAAAGGGGTCCGTGTCTCAGGCACCTGCTCATGGGGCTTCATGCTGACTCCAGGGCACACAACTCTGTGGAAACACACTCAACATGGGTTTGGGACATGGCAGCATTGACACATATTAAAAGTTCAGGCACATTTGGATGCAAAAAAAAAAAAAAAGAATAGAAAATCTCCTTGAATATCTAAAAGACAGTGCAAAAATTGAAGTGCCATAATCGAGGCAGCAGTTGCTTAGAAAACAATTGTGAATGACTTAGAAAGAGGCCACCCTCGCTTTGAACCAAAGGGAGAAGAAATGCAGCCAGGCACAGAGTAGTCAGATGAATGAGGGGATGGGTGTTTGGAGCTACAGTCAAATTCATTTGCTGCAGCCGAGGGCAAGTATGTTTTCAGGTAGCTCACCTACAGGAGTGGGCAGTGTGATCTGGCCATCCACCCAAGGCTGGCCTCTAACCTAGGGCATAACTCCATCTGCCTTTAATAACCAGCTTCCTCAAGCGGATTGGCCTTGAATGCAGACAAGACGATGATCCAAGTGATCATCCCCAGTATGCATGGTCCATCTCAGAAATAGGACAAGATTTGGAATGGGTTTCACGTAGGGGTACTCTAAACCAATACCCTACATCAATGGCCATTTCAATGTATCCGATGTAACAGGTGAGAACACGTGCATGTGACTGAAAGTAAATCCTCAGTTTCTCAATAAGCCCCCGAAAGTCATGGGATATTGGCATGTTAAACACACACGTTAACAGGGAAATCTATGCACAGACTGCACTTCCTTGGGGATTTGGCAACCCACATGGAATCTTCTCTTTGGACGAGCTAGCCCTGGATTGTGAGTGACGGCATTGCCGAATCGGAACAGCAGCCTGGAGCTCGGCAGTGGCCAAAACAAGCACAGACCACTGCCTGTTCGCTGGGCTGGACTGTGGGTATCGCCTGATCTTCCCTGGAGCGTGAGCTGTCCCTTTAGCAATGGCGTCAGATAGAGCTAGTTATCTGTGGTTTCCAGGGCAAAAGTCTGAACCCCAGACAGCAATATCAATCTGACTCACCATCCTTTCCAGATTCTTATTACTGTATTTCCCATTCTCCAAATCTCTGAGCCCACTTGCCCACAGTACTCCCTGCCCAGGTCAATCATGTCTTTTAAACTCTAAACTGCCTCGTGGTGAGGGGAAAACACAGTATGCTCCCTGCCCCCAACAGCAACGGTAGCTGCAAAGGGTCAGCTGCCCATTAGTGGCGCTTCAAATGAGAATAAAAAGAGATTTTTAAAATTATCTGAGACTCCTGGGCCAACATTCCAGCCATCTGGTATTCTCTGCCCATGTCAAATGGAGTAGTACCTTAACATGATTACAAATGACATCTGATGAATAATGTAAAACCCTCCACTGTAGTATTGTTTGGATTTAGCTGGTATTGTATCATCTACAGTCCTAATTTTTTTTTGTTTGTTTTTATTTTTTTAAAAGAAAATCTAAGTATAAACATTAAAAAGAACCCACTGACCCATTTAGCTACAGTCCAAAAATATTACTACTAATAGTTTGGTAAAGCAAAATTAGCTGCCCTGAATAAATTTTCCTTTTCAGGCATAATCTCTGCTACATAAGATTGTCTATCATTCAATATCCAACAATAGGCATCTGGATTAGTGCTGTTTTGTCTACTGTGGATACAGAAGTTGATATGAAATGTGATCCTCATTTAAATGAATAATCACCAGGCCTTAGGCATCAATGACTACTTACAAAAAAAAAAAAAAATGAATATGTTTGTTGGTTTTGCATGTTAACCCAGTCAAATCAAATCCAGAACAGAAGTACTACATTCAGTTGTCTGATAAACAAGCATTGCAATTTCAAAAATATATATATTATACTATATAAGGTGCTTATTAAACAAAACAACAAAGGAATTATGTACTAAACATATTCTGAATGATGACACATACAACTGCCCCCAAATTTAGATGCGCATGTATGGAAACATCTTTTTTTTTCCCCCCCTGACCCTCCCTGGTTCCCAGGCCTTTGATGGCCACTGGCTGGGCAATTAGAAACGAGTGAAATCCACTCTGTGGAACAGGCGTCCCCGGAGAAACCCTGGGAGCTTGGTTGGGTTATTGCCCACACATCACCTCCCACTGGGGTTCAAATGACAGACGGGGAGGTCATCGGCAGAAAGTAAACTTGTTTTTTAGCTGAGAAGAGGAAACCCGTAAGTGCTCTCTACAAGAAAGAGTCCTGGGGAAGGCTGCCCTTGGCTGGTGTGAGACCTCCTTTTTTTCATCTCAAGGTCAATGGATTCTGGGGCTCAAGTTAAGTCTCCCTCTCCTGAAGAGAGAGTGTCAGTTTAAAGAAATGAGCCCTAGGAGCAATTCCCCCCTCCCCAGGCCAAGCCCTTCTGTTTGGATGATGTTAGTAAGCAAGGGCATGTGTAGTCTGAGCAAGCCCAGGCGCCTGTAGAGGGGGTGCTCCTCTCCTCGCTCCCCCAATCCCCCCATACACACTCACCACAGCTTCAAAGTGTGCTGGGCCAACTGTAGGGACACCGCTGCCCACTGCTGCTGCTTCCAATCAGGGCCATGCAGGGAAGTACAGAAAAGGAGGCCAGCCCCCGAGTCCCAGGGCAGCCACAGTGCAGTGTGGCCAGCCACCCAGAGTTTCCCAGTGTCATCCAGTGTTCACTCTGCTCTCCTTGCTGAGCTCTAGACCCGGCAGTCGTGCACATGTGCTCATGTAGGCCAGTGCCCCAGGGCTTCACGTGTCACCAGGGTTCCCCCTCCTTTAAAGTGATTTTGGTCAGCGGCTGGGCACTACCCATGACTAGTTCCACCTTCCATGCAAATTACACACTAGAGAGATCCAAGGAGAGCATCCCCGATGGTACATGTGAGACCACAGCACAGCAGGTGAGTCCTGTGGGGAGAAGGATCCCTTTTATAAAACAAAAAGAAAAAACCAAGGATGTACCCCTCACGGGGCCCTGGAGGTGACTTAGCTGGGACAACTTGTTGTTTTCCACGGGTTCTGGGGAAGCAGGATCCACCGGGACCCAGGACTGGACAGAGTGCTCTCGGGGAGCCAATGGGGGAGCACTCGGCCAGTCCGGAGGTGCAGTGTCTGAAGTGGACAACTAGGGGATCTTCCTTCCCTGTGCGCATCTTGTATTCCTATAGGGGAAATGAATAGACAATCACGGAACAGGCAGCTACAGCCAAGCAACAGAGCAAAAGCTTGAAGGTGTTTAATAAAAAGATACATGACTATAGGAATACAAGAGGATGCTACAATAAACCCTCCACCTATCTCTCTCCAAGTTGGTAGGTACAGGAGCCACTTGCGATTCTCTCCTGTGGCTTAGATTCATTAGAAAGTGCTTCGCAGAGGTGCCAAGTCCACTCCCCAGGCCTGGCTCTCGGTAGGTAGCTTCAATGCACACTCATCTGAGCCCTAGCTCAGAGCCCAAATTCAGTCGCGCCAGCTCCGGGCAGCCTCACGCTTAGCCACATAGCAAAGGGAGAAGGAGAGCTCTCCCCAAGAGGTCAGCTCTGGATCCCTTTGGCTGTTCCCAAAAGGAGACGCGCCACTAAGGACCGAACAAGCAGACGCAGGCCACTCAGAGTAGGAAGCCGTGGTGCTGGGTGCAAGCCGGAGTGTGTTCAGGAGCAGAGTTTTGCTATGGGTGGTGTATGACGTGGGGAGAATGCTGCGGGGATTCTCAGACACTTGGGGGGATGGGGAGCTCTCAGACCGTGTTGGGGAAACCCTCTGACTCCCCACTGATGTAATACGTTGGCAGGGAATGTGGTAAAGTTGGGCCCGTGGTGGCCATCTGGCCCTGGTGCGGCTCCTCCATGGGGGCGCCCCCACGGTTGGCCGGGGCGTGCAGGCGGTGGGCATCCAGCATCTCCAGCAGCAGGTCATAGAGGGGCACCACGTTCTTGCACTTCATGTTGTACAGATGCTCCATGCCTTTGTTACTGCGGGGGCCGGGAGGGACACATAGAGAGGATGCGTCAGACCATCGCAAACCCCAGGCCCTGACACTCCCAGACAGCAACAGTGAACACTCCAAACACATGTGCCAATCGTTCTTCCTGTTTAAAGAGGCATTTTAGGGTTTGCTGTGCTGTGCAGGTCGCTTCCTCCCATGGACTCAAATGAGGTTCCATTCCCTTCTAGCTGCAATACAGCTCAACAGAGAACTGGTGAGAGAGAGATACAGCCTAGTCGGAGGGACTTTTTTTAAAATGTGGAAGACAGTTCAAGAAGGTCTCTTGCTTAAAAGGGCTTTCCACTTAACTCAGAATAGCATCTACATGTCTTTTCATGCTCTACAGGATGTAACTGAAGTGGCTGCCTCCACCTGTCAGCACACCCCCTGCCTCTCTCCCTGCACTGGGTTCATGCTGTCCATTGAAGAAACTAAGCACATTTCCTTCCAGACTCAGTGTGTCTGCACCTGCTGTCCTGCTGCCCCGAGTGCACATCTCCTACCTTCCAATCCACCTCCCCAGAAAGGCCACGGCCTCAGTCCCTGCAGCCCAGCCACCCCCTGTGACGTGACTCTGTGTTCCTACCTGAAATTTCTTTTCATGTATGTCTGTATTAATATTTATCCTTGACCTCTCATGCACATATACTCATCAACATATACACTGCAAGTTCCAAGAGGGACAGCAATTTGCCCATCCTATATGCTTACAACTGTGCCAAGAATGTGGTAAATGTCCAAAAACTAGGGAGTTGATGAACGTAGAGAAATGCAGATACATAGCATTTCTCCTTTACCAGCAGCTGTCCTCTGTCCTCCTCCACCAGCCCCACTCTGCTCTGTCTCCACCACACTACCAGGAAAAGCATAGAACAGCTATTATCTATCTAGAAATTTTAAAAACTAGCATGAGTAGGCAGGACCAAGAGAATGTTCTAGAATATATTTGCACTTTAGCAGGGGAAAGGTCATCAGCAGTTGGAGACTTGCCCTGCCATGAAAACACTTTGGGTGACTTTATTAGTCCACATGTTGAGAATTACTGCTATAGAGCCTAAGACCATGGGAAAACACAGATATTTACATTATGATTCATAACACCAGCAAAATTAGTTATGAAGTAGCAACAAAAATAATTTTATGGGTGGGGGTCACCACAACATGAGGAACTGTATTAAAGGGTTGTGGCATTAGAAAGGTTGAGAACCACTGGTAGAGCATAAAAGAGTAGCATAAGCAAAATAAAGAGATTTCTACTTTTATCTAAAAGCAATGGGAAGCTATTGCATGGTTTTAAGTAAGGAAGCAACATGACCAGATTTGCTATTAGGATGGTCACTCTTCATCATGGAGAACGAATTTGAAAAGATCAAGATTGGAGGCAGGAAGAAGTATGAGGTGGCTGTTGTAGAAACTCGGAAGGGAATGATGGTAGATTGGACTAGGGTAATGGCAGTGGAGGTGACAAGAAGAGATTTGAGAAGGATGGAGGAGTCAACATTGACCCTTCATGACACATCCGGGCACAGAGTCTCTTATTTAGGATTTCTCAGTGAAGTAAGGAGAGTATGACACAGGAACCACTGTGGACATGCCCAGTACCTGCAGAGGATGGGTGCCTCAAAGACTTCCTTTGATCAGGTGGGACAACGTGAATGACCAAACTTGCCCACTTCCCCCGACATGCACACTGTGCACTCTCCCCCATGTAAGACCTTGCATATGCTTCGAATTGAATGTAAATGTCACTCTCTCTGTAAAGCCTTCTCTTACACTTGCCCTATGCTCCAAACAGGTGTGAAGGCTCCTTCTTCTATCCTCCCAAAACATTTATGCTTATTACATGCCAGAAACTGTTCCAAGTGTGCTGTCCACATCCAGGTACCAGCCCTTCCTGGGGGAATCTGTAATGTATATTTGGGGGTCTGTTTTCTTTATGACTTTCCTATGGAGAACCAGGAGTGCCTCACCTCATGTGCCTGATGTGGGAGAGGATGAGGAGGAGCTGGGCCAGGCGCCGGTGCTGCTGCTGCAGAGTCAGACCTGACTTGGCCATCAGATGGATCAAGGTGTCCGTGATCTTGTCCAGGACTCGGTGGATATGGTCCTTCTCTTCCAGAGACTTCAGAGTGCTGGACAGAAATGTGTACACTCCTGGATGTACAGAGAGGGAGAGAGAAAGAATGAGAGAGAGAGAAACTCAAACAGGATCAAGTCCAAGAGTTTGACGGTGTGCGTGGAACACAATGCTGAGTCAGCACCTTTCCCTCACGCAGCAAGGGGGAAAGTTTGAACCCATTTGACCCAAGCAACTATATAAAATTCCTACTGTGAGCCAGTTTCCAAGGTTTGTCATTAAGAGTCCCTGGAGAGGCACTATTAGCCTTGGGGACCCAATGGCTCCTCTAGCCACCACCTCTAACAGCTTCGACCCCAACACAAACTATGCCATTGATACTGACCATGACCCTGTGAGAGGGGCACCCCTTTTCTAATGGAGAAACCAAGGACAGAGAGATGCACTAACTGAGATAACACAATAGGACAGCAAAGCTGAGAATGAAGCCCAAGCTGACTCCACTTCTCATTATAATGGAGATACTCAGGAGACACTTTTTGATACGCTAAGTGATTCACAGGTAATATTTCCAAGTAGCACTTTACTTGCTGTTACATTTCAGGTCAGGTTTAGGGCCCCACTGCTTTTCATCCTCACCTCAGAAGAAAGGTTTCTGATGGGTGGTGTAGAGGTCTGTGGTAACGGCTGTTTTTTCACTGCCAGGCATGTTCTTCTTTCCCCTCTTGCCTTTCTGCTGGCACTAGGTCCTCCTCCCTGCACATGGACTTATCCAATCAGGCCAATCTAGTCTTTTGGACTCATAGCCCTGCCTTATAGTGTCCACATACAACTCCAGAATTGTATGAGGATGTTGTGAGACAGAAACTCTTTCCTCTATGGTTGCTGAACTGTGAGGACAAGAATATGGGACTTTTACACAGTGGCATCTTCCTATAGCACATGGAGCTCCTGTCTGAAGAATAAAACATTCCAACAACACGCAAAGGTTAGAGTTGGGGGAAGGAAGGGCAGTCCTGGTTCCAATTATATAGTCCTGCTTCTTGTATCTTTTTTTTGTCTTTGGATCTTTCATAGTATCCTTTCTAACATATGAATCCATAAAGTCCTATTATGCTTGAGGCAGTGTGAGTCATCTACAAAAGAAAGGACCCTGACTATTCAACTAAGTTGTAAGCTCAGCCCAAGGACCAGAAGGAGGAGGTTGGTAAAGAGTTGGGATGTATGAGATCGGGAGGAGGTCGGGATGGGTCAGTCTTATCTTGGGACCACAGGATAGATTTTCTATCAAGTAAATACTCCAGAATAAGCTTCATTCTTCATAATGATAGCATCTTGCAGGAAGGAGATGTGATATTTTCTCCTGATGATATGTAGTTAGCATATTGTTTGGGTCTTATTTCTATTCAGCCCCATGGCCTCTCATAAATAAATTTCTTCTTCCCCCTCCCCATCCTCCCTAGTACCGTCAAGTTAAGCCTCCCAAAATTCATCATCCCCTGACTCTGTACTGATAATGTGGGGATGAGTTATGGCTCTCACAGCAGCTGGAGGTTGGAAATGGGAAAAAAACATTTACACACACAGAGGAACTCATAGTAAACAGAGTTGTAACTGCCCAGAATGGAAAATGGCTAAGCTTTAAACAAATGCAACAACAAAACCAGAATAGTCAGGATCTTGGCTTACACGCAGATGGATAGAATAATGAAGCTTTTGGTACCGAGAGGCACTTTGGTCCAAAGCAAAGAGAACACAGAATGAGTAAGCAGCAGACACACAGTGGGATAGGAAGGAAATTGCTGGATTACTTCACTTATGTTCCATGCAGACTGTTGATAGAGAAAGAATGTGTACATTAAAAAAAAAAAAACAGTAGCCTTGAGATTAGCCCAGATGTAATGGATGGCAAGGAAAGTGTATGCCACTGGTTTAGGGGTCTGGGGTAGCCTCTGCTGAGTCCCCATGATCCTGCCTTTCACCCCACTCTATGTCATCACACACATTCTAGCCTTGTACCTCTCAGAGGCTTTACATCTGGCTGGATATCCTGAGAACTTGCCCATGCCTCAGAGCTGAGTTAATGCAACTTGGATGATGCATTTTTTACCAATTCCCTTTTTTGTTACCACCTAGGATGCTGGCTTCATTCACCAATAATCCCATTCTTCTTCAAGGAGCAAACTGTCCCTACCTGGGAAGGTACAGCACTTGACCTTCCTACTCATGCACACGGGATTAGAGTAGAATGTGCTAGAAGCTCAGAGGTCTTCAAGTCAGCATTATGCTGTGCCCTTTGCAAGGGAGGTAGGAGCCTTGCCATTCAGACTCTAGGGTGTGAAGTTTCCTCTGGGGCTGTTGGTCCCCTCTCTTCCTCAACGTGCACACATGGACAGCATATAGATCCTTTCCTTCAGCATGCTGTTATAAAGAACCTATTGTGTGCACACATTATGTTATACAACAAAGATTTCAAGCCTTATTTTCTTCCAAAAGTTAATGTCTTAAGTGCAGCTATTGCCTATGGAGAAATAATTTTCTTTATAACAACTCTTGGGAGGCAAGCCATTTTCAGAACAAGCCTGTTTTCTAGTAGAGTTTTGGCACCAATACAGTTTGTCGTCAGCAAATGCTTCCTAGCTGAGCAAATACACTTAGAAATAGAAATACAGTCCTACCAACATGCCAATAATTGACAACTGCAGCCAACACATCCTTTTTGGTCTACTATGGCTAAACGTGGACCATGTGTGTTGCCTGTTGCCCCTAAAGGGCCCTTTGAAAGAAAGAACAGAAATCCAAATTCCCAGAATATATCAGGCACTTTGGCAAGGCAAAAAGGAGCTGGTGGTCAATTCCACATCGCAGGTGGTCTCCGCCACCCTGGATGGCTGTGCCACTGTTCCCAGAAGCACAGAGCCAAGGTCAGACACCAAGGACTTTCAGAAACATTCTTGTGACAAGGCAAGCTTTTGCAACTCTCGAGGTTGCTCCAAATCCCAAAGATGGAAAAAAAACAATTTGTGTGTCATTGTCCAGTCTTCCAGTGCTTTTGGCAGATCTAAGCTACTACACAGTCTGAACCTTGCAGCCAGCATTGGAGTTACAGGAAGAGTCTGTGGAGAACTCTGGTAGTACCAAGGAATGGGCAGTGAGACTGTTGGGACATCCCCATTTGTGAGATCTCAATTCATTTTTTCTCACTCTCTTAGTCTCAATGACTCCTCTCACTCTACTTGGACTTTCTTCCTTTTTCCTTTTGCTCTCTCTACTCTATAGGAACCCCCTCTCCACCCCTCATCACTCTGCCAGGTAAGAGCATCTTCCAGAAGATGAAGGAATGCAGACATGAGCACTGCGGTGCACAGATGCACCTGGTGTGTCTGGAAGGAAGCACAGCATAGCCAGGAGTGTCCAGCAGACCCTGCCCTTGACCTCTCCTGGGAGGAATATTGAGCTGTTCCTAAAGAGGCGAGGACAGCCAGATGCTTGAGGACAAATTCTTCAAGAAGGCCACATTGGTTCTTTCCAAAAGGAGGAATCTGACTGTGGACCCAGGGGAGTCCTTCAGTCCATGGCAGTTTGACCAAAATAAAAGGAAATGGCTCAGCGGGAAAAATAGTGAAGAAAGCTTAAGCCCACAGCTGTCATCGATCTGGACCAGAAAGCTGTCACTCAGCTGGTGTAAAAAGGAACTTCTCATCCTGTTCACCCAGTGATTAATTATTTTCTGAAAAATCTAAGAGATTTTTTCTCTAATATTTGTGATCCTCAAATATGGTTGTCTCTCAGAACTTCTTTTGGCATTCTAACCAAACCTGCTGACTGACAACCAAACTTACTGACTGACAGGCTAAGTGCTTTCAAAAAAACTCTCTATTGATGTACATCTAGGATCATGAGTCACATGACTACCATGATTTCTTTACATCTGGCCACTAAAATGTAAACTCTTGAGAACATGGACTGTATTATCTTTCTGTGAAAAGTGTCTTAGCATGATGCAAAACTACTTTGAGGATGTCTTCTTCATGCAGTTCCTCATCTGTGTGGTCCTCCATGCTTTCTCCCCCCTGCTGGTTGGTTAGAATGGAAGACCTGGAAAGCCACCCAATAAGATTCCAGAGCCCTTGTCAGCCTAAGTCCCTGAATGACCACATGGAAGCAGCGCTGACACTAACCTGTGCATGCACCCAGGATTGTTAAGGAAACAGGAAATAAACCTCTCTGTGTTTGAGCTGTTACACATTTTGAAGCTTGCTTGTTATTAAAGCTGCCTTGCTTTAATGCAAAATATGGAAGATTTTAAGATTGATGGATTGAATAAATGAATAAATTTGTATAAGGGAAGAGGTAATCACAGGATATTCGCATGCCTCCTTTGTTGCAATTTTCCACGTTTCTAAGGATTTGGGTTGCATAGTTCATTTAGAAGTTATTTTCCTTACAAAATTTGAATATTGTCACATTTTTAAATCTAGTTTCTAGTACCACCTCACATTGCCTGTCATGTTAACCATTTATTCTAAACACTAACATACTTCATAGCAACCCATATATTAAAGAATCAGTTAAAGAGCCCAGGATGTGAGAATGTTTAGTCAGTCATGACTCAAAGATGCAGTTCCATCATACTGAGGATTTTAAAGAGGTTGCTCTATGCCATGCAGGAATTGATTTCTTATTTCATGAATCAAATAAAATGAGTATTGCTTTGAGTGCTATTTACCCATAGATAGAAAAATTTCATTCTTCTACTGATGTGTGATTATTTATCTGGAAAGTGAAGAACCTGTCCATAACCCAATCCTTGCACATTGTTTACTGTTCCACTAGTATTTGTAAGATCACAAACTCTTCCAAGTCCTCTTCTAAGTGGTCTCAGCAGGAGAGGGATCCTAGAGATGATAAGAGTTCTTGCCAGAACCCTACATGGGAACATGGTAGACCTGTTTGTTGGGCTTCACTATATACCCAGGAGCATCCTCTTGGCACAGATGAGTATGAAATCATATGCTAATGATTCAGTGACATTTATCAATTTAGTATAATTTTTAATGAAATCTACTGGATGTTC